AGCTCCAGGGAGGGTTTTTCGGCACTGACCCCCTTTCTCAGATCCCTGTGGAATGCTCTGGCCAGGCAAACTTACCTGGAACTGCAGCTTGGGAGCCAGGAGGTTGCTCTGGGGAGGTGCCTTGTACCTGGGTCTGCTGGGCTACAGGGAGAGGAGGAGGAAGAAACGCACGGTGGGTGCAAGATCGAGGAGGTCCCACTTCTGCAGCACTCATCAGTGGGTCGCGGCAGGGAAAGGAACCTGCCTACACGGTCCTCTCCTCACCTTCGGAGGTGGCTCCTGGAAGGATGGTGGTTCCATGATTTTGGGAGGCCGGTGGCGGTTGTTCCTCTCCTGCTCCTTGGCCAACTCCTTCTCCATCAGGTAAATGTCACTGCAGGTGGGGACAGAGGGTGACAGCCCCAGGAGGGGGCATTGGCACAGTCCCCTCTGGCAGGGACACATCTGTGCCCAGGGATGCTTGAGCTGGATTGGCCATGGAAAACACGAGGAGCGTGAGAAGAGCAGAGGGCAAGACCTGGGAAGGCACAGCTTGGGCACAGCCAACCACACCAGCATCACCATGGCTGGCCCCAGTGAGATGTGGGGTCTGGACACCCCTGCAAGACCCCTCCCCAGGAAGCAAAACGTTTCCATGTCAGCCCAGGCACCCCCCAACCCACCCCCAGGTGGGCTCAAATGGTCCTTTGAGCTCAGACACAACCAAAAATCTCCAGAACTCAAAATTTTGCATGGCTTAATTTTTTTCTTCACTCACCCACCCTTCTATCAAACCATGGACCCCCCAGCCCATCATGGCCCCCTTCCCCCGCCTCCCCGCTCACCTCAAGCTGCAAACCAGGTCCTTGAACTTGGGCCTTTCGCTGGGGTCGTAGTCCCAGCAGCGCGTCATGAGGGTGTAGAGGATGGGTGGGCACAGGTCGGGCTTGGGCAGGCGGTCGCCCCTCTCCAACACCCCAATCACATCCTTGTTTTCCAGCCAGAAGAAGGGCTGTTTGCCATAGCTCAGGATCTCCCACATGCACACGGCTGTGGGAAGCAACGTGAGCAACCTCAAATGATGGTAAAGTTTGGGGGGGGAACCAGCCCCTCGCTCGGGTTTTTGGGCACTTGGTGATGCTGCCACACATTGCTGCGTGACACCAGGTCACTTGGCTGCTCAGACTTTCTGGTCCCTAGGTGAAAAATCATAGAATCATGGAATGGTTTGGGTTGGAAGGGGCCCTAAAATGCAGAGGAAAGGGCTGCAAGCTCTCCCGGGGAGCTGCAAGGAGCCCAGCTCCTGGTTGCTGTTAGGGACAGACAGACAGATGAGTGCCAGAGGCCATGGGGATGGGCAGGGAGATGGGTATTTGCAGGAGGTAGGGTTTAACTCAGCCCCCTGTCTTGAATTCACTGGAGAAGGAGGAAGCACCTAAGGATAGTTGAACTGGAAGAAGCTCTTCCCAAGGGCAAGGCTGGGATAACTGCTCTTTCCCAGGAGCCCTTTCCCCAAGGGCAAGGCTGGGATAACACCCCTGCTCCACAGCAGGATTTGTCCCTGTGCATTAATACGATGCTACAGGAGGTGGATGATGCCCAGGACCCTGCTCCGTCCCCATCCCGTCACGTACCGAACATCCAGACATCGCTGGCTGTCGTGAAGCGTCGGAAGTTGATGGACTCAGGTGACATCCACTTGATGGGGAGACGGGTGACGGAGGCTGGAGGGGGGAGAGGGACGGTGGCCGTGGTCACTGCAGGGGTGACTGAGCAGCCCCAGCATGGGCAGGGCAGCGAGGTCCCACCATGGTGTCTGCCCCAGCCCCTTCCCATCACTCCATCCTGCTGTTGTAGGGAGCCCCACCACATGCCAGCTCCACCATCCGGAGAAATCCCTGCTCCAACCTCCCAGGGTTGGAGCGAGCCCCAGCCCCATCGTGCAGCCCTTACCTTTGTAGTACTCCTCATCCTCGATGTACCTGGAGAGGCCGAAGTCGCCCAGCTTCACACACTCTGGGGAAGCCACCAGGATGTTCCTCACGGCAATATCCCTGCAAGGAGAGAGAGCCTTGGCTGGGGAGAGGGGATGGAGAATGGATGGAGAGCTCGCACCCGAACAACCAGCTCACCCAGCTGCAGGAAGGGTCTGCAGCAAAGATGCTGCCTGTTTCTGCCCTCCCCCCACACGCCTATCCCCTCCGCAGTCCCTGCCATCCTCTCTCCTGGCATCCTGCTCGGCTCCTTTTCCCTCCTGCCTGGCTCCTTTTCCCTCCAACCCTACCTGTGCACGCAGTTGATGGCCTCCAGGTAGGCGAGGGCTTTGCTGATCTGCAGCGCGTAGAGGATGAGCGTGGGCACGGCGAGGCAGAGCTTGTTCTGCTCCAGGTACTGCCCCAGCTGCAAGGGGACAAGCCGGGGCGGGGGGCTCAGGGACCGAGGGGACTGAGCAGGGGCAGGAAGGGTGTCAAGGGGGGGGCCCGCTCACCTCTCCATAGGGATAGAGCTCCATGATGATCCAGGTGGGTTCCTCTTCCGCGATGCCGATGAGCTTCACGATATGGGGGTGGTCCAGCTTCTTCATCAGCACTGGGGGGAGACAGTGTCAGACAGGCTGCAGTGGGGGAAACGCCCCCCTCAAGGAGCCCAAATCCCAGTCCTGGGAGTTGGGGGAGGATCTTTGCCGTGAAGTCGGAGACAGAGCCGAAGGAATTGCCAGCAATAGCCTAGTCCATGCCCAAAAGGGGTTGGGGCTCCTGGATTCCAGCGCCTCAGGGATTTACATCCAGGTAGGGCCCGTCTGCTCTCACACAAGGATTCAGTAGCGTTTCTCCCCCAGCTCCCATATCCATCCCTTCCCTAAACCAGGTTTTTTGAAAACCAGCCATGTCACAAGGGGGAGGGCACGGGACACCACTGTCCCATCACCGAGTGGGGACCAGAGGATGCCAGGGCAGGGCTCTACCACCCCTTCTCCCACATCCCACCATGGCAGCGCTGCAAACACCACCAAGAACCCCCACATCTGTTCTCTGCACCCCCATGTGAGCCCCGCGGAGGGCTGAGCAGGCTTCGTCCCCCTTGAAGGGGGGATGTCCCCCCCCCACCCCCACCTACCCGCTTCGCTCAGGAACTTGTCCTTGTTCTCCGGGCTGCAATCCTTCTTGCAGGTCTTCACAGCCACGTTGACCCGCTCCCCTTTCTGCAAGAAGGGGGGAGGTGGGGGGGCTGCTTTACCCCCGAGCGCTGAAGGAGGCAGGCGGAGGAGGGAGAGGGCAGGATGCTCACCGGGGTGGTGTAGATCCCCTCGTAGACCTCTCCGAAGAAACCTTCCCCCAGGATCCTGCCCAAGGTGATGTTCTCCCGGGAGATGCCATAGTGCTGGACTTCACAGAGAGGAGAAGAGGGAAGAGGTGGCAGTGCCGGGGGGTGTGAAGCTGCCTGCACCCCTGCCCACTCAGAGGGCAGAGCCCCTGTGCTAAGAGGGAAATGGCAGGTACCACCCCTCTCCATCACCCCCTCGTCGAGGACCCCCAGGGTCCTGCCCCATGGGGTGATCCCAGCTCCTTCAGCCCGTCTGAGGGGGGTTAAGGTGGGAAGTGCAGACCTTATTCCCAGCTTTGGGGAGATGGGGTGGGAAATGGGGGAGGGCAGGAGGTGGGAGGGCTTGGTTAGGGTGCTGGGAGAGGGGCAAGAGGACACCCGGGGGGGTGGCACCTACCTCCA